AGTATGTATCAATATGTTATCGATCATCATTTGCAAGCCAACTTCGCCTTGTTTTTTTTTCAGGGTTGATACATCATATTATTAATATAATTAATAATATCAACTATTAGGGATCACTAAGGAGCGAAAATACGAGATATATTTAATCAAGAAAAATATACGTTTTCAAACTATATCTTAAAAACGATTTATTTTTGGTTTAGGAACATGTATAGTCAAAAAGTAACGAATTGTAAAATCTTTTCACTAGTGAAATAAAAAAAGTGGGTTTCCATTTGAAAAAAATGATTTATGATAACTTTTTAATCGCCCAATTCCATGACAGATACCGCCATTATCGTATGACATTTGAACAATTTAATTTTTGAAATAGATTGCTACATGTCTCCTCTTTATGTCACAGTAGCTGTAGCAATCACTAAATTTGACTATAGGCTATACAAATTTTTTTGAGGTACTTTTTTTGGTCCAAAAATTTTAAATATTTTTTTTCTCAAAAACGGTTAATGTTAGATATAGAGTGTTTAACTTCAATATTCATAGAATTTTACAGAGAATTTAAGTATATAATAAAAAATGGGGGCGGCCATTTAAAATAAGAAAGTTGTAGTCAACTTCCGGTATTTCCGGAAGTGCCGCCATATTGAAAATATTTTTAACCGATAGATCTCGTTGTAAAACAATGATGTGCAAAAAATCTCCGATCTAGATATTGTGGTTCTCTAGGAACTTCTAATGCACGCTCAGCCGGAAACCCTGTATAGGTTGAAGACTAAGCAAATTTCGAAAAATAGTAATTGTCTCAAGTACCTGCATGGTTTGGTTTCCTTCTTCTCCGTCGAGTAACTCGCAGCCAGGATAGCCGACGCGTTCAAACTGGCCATCCGTTTCTTCACCACCATATCCTTCAAATCCATCAGCTCTTCCGGTTGGTGCTTCTTCCGCCGCCTTTGCACTTTTACCGTTTTCTTCTTTTTCTCAACATCGTTGATGGATTTCTTCACAATCGGCTCCTTCTTTACCTTAACCTTCTTCTTAACCACCCGCCTGTGTTCCACGTCACTATTATTATCCGAACTGATCGAATCGTGCATGTCCCAATGTTTCCCTACCGCCCTTAAACCAGGAACGTCACGTAGGGTTCTTTGAACTGGAGCTTCTTCTTCGGAAGACTCCTCGGAGCTGTCGGTGAAGACCAATTCGTACGACTCCCTTTTCGCTTTCTTCGATTTAGGGTCTTTTTTCTTTGGAACCTCGTCATTTTTATCGGAATTTTCTTTAGGTGGTTCTCGTTTAATCAGAGATTCTTCTGCCATTTTCTCGAACAAGACTTTGGATTCGTTCTCATACAGACAATGAACTTTGGCTATGGCGTTTAAAGAAGCCTCTCTATGTCTTTTCGGACTATTCCAAAACTGAATCAACTTGGCTTTCCGCCTTTCTTCGTTCCTTAATTTCTTCTTCATAATCGCCTTTTTCTTCCTTAAAATAATCGCCTTTTTCGTTTTCTTGTTTTTCTGGGTGTTTGGAGACTTCTCATCAGGCGTTTTTTCCTTTACAGGCTCAAGTTCTTTAGAAACTTCTACATTAGGTTTGTCGATAATCGCTTGCTCTTCATCCTTGACTTCTTCCTTAATTTTAACTGGAAAAATATCCAATTCTTCATCAAGCTTTTCTTGCTTGATTTGAACTGAGGTAGTTACAGGAGGCACAATCTCTAGGCTAGGTTTATTTTGCGGTTTAACGCATTTTCTACGAGGTTTCACCACTTGAGTCGTTTTCAGAGTAATTGCAGATTTTCTTTTAGTTGTTCTAGCATCTTTCGTCTTCTTTATACTTTGCTTTCTAGATGGTTCGTTTTTAACCGCTAGTTTCTTTTGAACAGCTTCATTTTTCGGAGTTAATAACTTTTTGTTTTGAACAACTTCATTTTTAGGGCTTAATACCTTTTTTTTAAGTACCTTTTCCCGAACTGGTTCCTTAACCTTCTTTTCTCTAGCTCTAGTAATCTTTTTAGGGACATTTTTAACTAGGGAATTTAAGTTTTTCGTCACTTTGGGACTGGAATTTTTGTCGCCCCCTGTGGGAGGTGACACACGACTAGTTTTCTTAATTCCTACATTATTTTTGGCAGTTTTTGTTTGAACTTTTGGATTCTCTTTCGCCTTAACTTGTTCGTTCTGCAACTTGCAAAAGCGATGCTTGGGAACCCGTTTCAGGATCTCGCTCTTTCTTATCTTGGAAATGGGTAGCGGTGTTGGCTTTATTGGTGTCAGTTGGCCTTGTATAACGAAAGCAATGGTTTCCGCTATGGTGTCTTTAGCGGCCGATTCTAAACTGAACTCCTGCTTACCCTTTCTCTTGCGGGTTACTGGTAGAGATTTCATCACACTCCTAAGGCATCTCTCCTGTTTTATCGCGCCGGTAGTCTTCATAGGTACTTTGGATTTCTTCTTTTTTGACGTTGCCGACGAGGAATTTCCATCATGTCTCATTTAATCTGAAAAAAAAGAACATGTATCACCATCTTGTTTATTCAAATATTACACAAACAGACAACACTCAATGATTGAATAAAATGACGAAGTAGGAGTTTAAATAAACTTTCAATAAGATCTTAGTCGTCTAAAGGCGGACTTAAGCTTGATTTTCATGCATCTGTTATTCGTTTATACGATAGGAAAGATCGTACGATAACGGACGTTTTGACGCTTTCTTGACATTTTTAATCTAACCTTAATAAAAATCTAATAGTACAAATAACAACGTCCGGAAAACGATAATTTTAAGAAAGCTGGTTTTTTAATATATCTTTTGCAATGCTCTCGTGACCAAAGTGCGGGCCGTCTGAATGCCGGTAGACTACTGCGGTTCATTTCTGCGCATCACATCTGTACAGGGTATACCATTTTCGTGTGGTTTATAGCATTTCTGGTTTATGAGTAAAGATACAATCATGCGATTTTGAAATTACTTTGCTACTTATAAAACTAAATATACTACAAACAATATATTTGTCTAAGCCTCCATAGTTCCTGAAATACAGGGCGAATTTGTGATGCGCAGTAGTGAAGAGATATTGAATACAGATATGATGCGCAGTAGTGAACGCAACGTCTACCGGCAGCCAGACGGCCCGCACTCTGTTCAGGAGAGCATAGCAAAAAATATATTAAAGAACCAACTTTCTTAAAATTCCCTCTCTAAAACGTTGCTAGCTTTTAGACTATAAGTAAACAGACTATAAGTAAAATATCATAATGGAAATGAAAATACAAAATGACACCAATCACAAGCAAATCGTATATGAAAATGCAATAAATTTAAAAACTGCGTGATTTTCTAACCAATCGAAGTCTTTAAATTTAACCGATAACATGTGCTTTAACATTCGACTTTCACAAAAAGCAGGAAAGAATACGGAAAGGGTAAAACAACCCCCACCCCTACATAAATTGTAGTATAAATATCTTCCAACAAAACCGACGACCGATTTGTTTTTTCGTAATGTAAACTGTAAATATTTATTTCCAGAAATATTTCGTGAAACATTTCGGACATAACGTGAAAAGTATCTAAGTGTTTATTCCGGTCCTTGAAAAAGCTAGCTGCGAGAGCGTTGAAGTCATGATTACAAAATCCCGCTTAAGATTGGTTGGTCACGTATGTAGAATGCAACAAAATCGCCTACCAAAATCTTTGCTTTACGGTGAGCTTGTAGAACATGTATGCAGTATGTATATGGTATGTATATTGTATGAGAATATGTTTATTGTATGTAGTATGTATGTAGACGGTAAGAGGAAACCGGGTGGACAACTCAAAAGGTACAAACTTGAAAAAGGGGATGCAGAATGAGTGGGAAGAAGCAGCGCACAATAGAAGGCAATGGAGAAGAATTATAAGCTCAGCTAACAGCGACAACCAAAAAGTAAAGGGCAATAAAGCAATGCTATTTTTAAATGTCCGGAGTGCGGAAGAGAGATAACATCACGTATCGGGCTTTTCAGTTACAGAAAAACTCACGGAAGAAAACGCCTTGCGTAACCATCTTCTGATGCGTGTCAAATACTCGTCAGCGAGTAATGGCAGTAATAATAGTTTAAATTTGTAGCGTTTTTTTAAACAACTACCACTGCGAACGGCAGCTTTTCATCGGAGACCAGTCGTGGATAAGGTATTTCACTAGAGAGAAAATTAATCAATGATAATAAACAAAAGATATATAGATATTGGGCGCCAGGCATGTACAGAGAAAGAAAACACAGTTGTATAATACTTAAAACTAATGACTATATTTATTCGTGATGAATTTTGATGGTAAATAGCATTGTACAATTAATATAATTATTATAGTGGTTACTTGTTGAGTAAAACTATATATGTAAATAATATTAAATACGTTCTATGAAAAGACTATAAAGAAAATACAATGCGTGTAACGTTATAGAAAATATAGGAAAAGTAGCATTACTTTATTTAAATTGTTAATCATCTGTTAGTATAGCGTAATAATAATGTCTATAGAAAGTAATACTATTACAATGCGTGATATTATGAAATCTAAAATCTAAATCACACTTTTACTACTGCATCGACATAAATATCCTTAATAATCTAACCACTAAATATAGTCTGTACGCTATTGTTTAAAATGTACGTTACTGTTTAAGACTGAAAACATTTTAGATGTTAAATGCAAAACTAGAACTTAAATATACACTTAGCTGTTCTTTTATGTAACCCTGCTTCAAACAGTAGCAGCGCGAGGAGGTCTAGCATCTCTGTACTGTCTGTCGGCGATCCAGGCTTAGAAATGGGGGTGAAGCAGCACGGGGCTCAAGCCACATCCACGCTGGGGCACTCTATGTGTAAGACAAATCAATCCTACTGGGGACACTTGTCCATGGGATATCCGTCCATAAGATAGTGGCACAAGAGAACACTACTAGGACCTTGAAAAATAGTCCATACCTTGGACACTTGTCCGTAAGACAATGTCCGTCCGTAAGATCCTCGAAATACTTACGAGGGCTCAATAAATAATAAACAATATGTCCTTTCTTCCAAATGACATTCTGGAGGACAAAAGCAAAGGGACGCCAACGTGCCAGCCAAATACAAATACAAGTTGGGACATCCGTAACTCTACCCTGTAGCTTCGAAATGGCAGCTGATTCAGATAATACAGCCAGATTTAAATGACCACCATTTCTCAACACTGCTGGGACTAATGGCGTCTAAGAGGCCAAACGGTCCAACCAAAAGTGAAGTTAGATCACAGAGAATTGACAGAAGCGATGTTGACAGCGCGCGCTCCCACAGAGCGATACCAGGGTTGTGTCAAACAATAACAGGGTTGTGCCAAACAATAACAGGGTTGTGCCCAGACATCATATATCATAATCAAAGACATGTGACGAACTAAAAACGTTACAAATTATAATTGAATATCTCATAAAAATATTGGAACTCTAAGTCACCCAGTGCGTAATCAGTCCTTGTAACTATAAAAAACCTACAAAAAGAAAAAGGCTTTCGTTTACGACAAACCTAATAAGTTATCTAACTAAATAAAAACCTTGGGGCATCAGGGTATTTACCCCATCGTATTTACCTCTTCTACATGCGGGGCTCTGTAATCCCTAGCGACCCGTGGGAACACTATGAGATCTAGTATTAAAAACACCACCGGTGAAGCTGTGGGGAAGCCCCCTAGCGACACTGGGAACATTACAAATGAAAGTTCCAAGCGACCAAATCCAAAGGAAACTACAAGAGGGGCGGCTGACACTTGCTCGGGATCATCCTCCACAATTGGCTCACAAGCTACCATCTTCTCCAGCAAGGGTCGGAAGCCTACCTCTAGACCCAATAAGCGACACAAGCTACCGTTTCGTCTACCCGGTCTGGGTCAACCAAGCGGGCTAGACGATCCTCTGAGAGTAGGTCTTAGCGGAGCAGATGCACGGAGATACCTCCGACTGCTCCACGAAGGACTTGCTCCAGAGGAAGCAAAAGCGAAAACAATGCTCCGAAAAGGGGAGAGTAAAGAAACAACCTGACTCATCTCCATCAAAGGGCAAGAGAGGGAACGAGAACCTCTTACTTCTTCTCCAGCAGGGAGAAAAAAAAGCCAGGATGGAAAGCCGTCCAACACCGGGAGGCAAGCAGGGACGTATCACCAACTTTGCCGCTATTGCTGGACAAGTGAAAATGGCGGTGCTGCCAAAGAATTTCCCAGAGGTTGCTCTGACCATCGACCAGCAAACGTCTCTAGAAGAGGCTATTCTGAACGAAGTAGTGGCGATCGGATCGCAATAAAACGATCTACAAAATGTGGGTCAGCTGCGTTTTGCGGGGATACACTTTCGGGTGGGCATGATCCTCATAGATTGTGTATCTCACGAATCGGAGAACTGGTTGGTGGAAATCGTACCTAAGCTTAAAAATTGGCATGGGTCGGAACTGGTTGCAGTGAAGGGAGAAAATATCCCTAAAGGGGGGTCATCACGGTCTTTCTGCCGAGGAGCAAGGGCAATGACACCACCTATCTGCTGAGCCTTTATCCAGGGTCAGAACTTCAATTTAAGGACATCGAGTTGGCGAGTCATCAACTCGAGGGAGGAGGGTCATGGTCAGGCCCTCACAATAGGAATTAACCTCAAATCCAAGAAGGCAATAGAGATAGCGGGACATATCCTCTATTATAGATACGGGACAACACCGGTATCAGGTCTAAGGAGAGACCAAGTTAAAGGGGTGGAGAAAATGGAGACAGATCCTCCAGCCTCCACCTCACGGGTTCCTCGGAGGCAAGCTCCTCGACTGTGAAGGGCGGCACGGAGGGCCAAACTCCAACCGTGGAAGGGTGTGTACCCTCGGAGGAAGAACTGTTGTCAGAGGAGGATGGGAAATACCCTGTTCCCTCTACAGCAGGGGTATGATGGGTTAGTTAGTGGTTACATGGGGGTATGATTTTTATAGACTGTCTGATGACTCAAGGAAGGGGGGCAAAATAGATTTTTAAGGTCGCAGTTTAAGGTAGCCCCCCTCTTACTCCTACATTCTACAACTAAATAAAATTAAATAGAACTGACTGATTTATTAACAAGAGATCTCATAATTCATTATCCCAATTAAAATCACTTCTCCTTTCATAAACACAAAGTATAAACCCTTTGGTTCGCTCAGTTACTAAACCATAAACAAGCGTTTTCAGGTAATCTCCTTTACGGGAATCTGTTTGTTTATTAAAGGCTTTAATAGACAGATGTGTTTATTTTGAAGCCGAGGGTGGCCCATATTATATCGCGATGTTCAGCTAGAAATCCGTTCAATGAGTTCAAAATTTAAACGGGATTTATGACGGATTTCGTCGAAAATCACTGGGACAATCTGGTTTAGTGGGTCTGAGTGGTTTTCGGGGTTTGTTTATTGTGTATTTTGATAGATAATGTGGATTGACTGTTAAAATGAATATACAGTAATAGGTGCGGG